ATGTAGCTTGGACTCATAGTGAACCTCTTGTCTCAGCCTCCCAGTGCTGAATTACAGGCATGTGCCACCATGCCCGGTTTCAACGGCTGGCACGGCCAGCTGTGTGGTACTGGAGATCTAACCCTGGTGCTTGTGCTTGACAGGCAGGCACTTAGAACACTGATCCCCAGCCCTATAATTTCCCTCCTTATTTGGGGTGGTTTGTTGTTGTTTCTCAAGTATCTTAAGATTTCTCTTAAGATTGTCTGAGCTTGCTCTGTTTTCCTAATGTGAGCATTGATTGTGGCCAGTTTGCCACTTAGAACTCTCTCTTTCCTCCTCCCCTCCCCTTCTCTCCCCTCTTCTGCCCTCCTCTCCCTTCCTCCTCTCTTTTATTTCTTTCATCTTTTTTGAAAAAGGGTTTCACTGTGTGGTTCAGGATGGCCTTGATCTCCCTTTGTAGTCCAGGCTGACCTGGAACTTGAAACAGTCCTCTTGCCTCAGTCTCCCAAGAGCTGGAATTATAGGGATTCCTTCAGGTCCAGTTTAGAACTGCTTTCACAGTGCCCCAGAAGTTTTGGCAAGTTGTACTATCATTCTAACTTCTAGAAATGTAATTTCTTCTGCGACTCATAAGGAGTATATTGTTAATTTTCCAGGAGCCTCTGCCTTTTCTAATTTTCTGATAGTATGCATAGGGTAATTTTTACTCTTTTATATAGATTCATTAGCATGAAATTGTCCACTCAGAATTATTCTTATACAATTAAACCAGCTATAGTCAGTAACAGGCTAATCTGTTACAGTGGTCTATCAAGGCAAGTTGAGAAATAACATACTATGAGACCCAAAAGAGGGTCATACCTGGCTTTGGTGGCCAGCATGATGTGCCTGGGGTTGCATGACATGTGGTACTGCGACTTGAACCCAGGTCCTTGAGTGTGCCAGGCAGGCATTTAGACCACTAAGCTATCTCCCTAGCCCCAAAATTTGTTTTTTAAAGTCATGTGCTGTGTAGTATAGGAAAGAGACAGTCGGGGCTGGTGGACAAGGGATCCTAATGATGATAAGGGTATGTTGTATATTTATGAGAGGGTAACAGGAAAAACCGGGTACAGAATTGGTAGTGAGAAATGGGGATGGGGAAAGATTCTATAACATATAAATATTAGAGACAAAGTTAAAGGGAGACAATTGATAAGAGAAAAAGAAAAATTGAGAATGAGTAAGACACATGAAAAAGAAGTCAAGTGAAGAGATATGGATAAAAATAGAAGCGATAACAGGACAAGAGAGAATTCCCTGGCCCTGTAGAACTACAGGGAGAAAAAAAAGCAAGAAGGAGATAAATACACATACCTGAACACACCCTCATAAAAGAAAAAGAGTAAAATAATGAAATAAAAGTGTGTGTAAAAAAATAAATAAATAAAAATTTTTAAAAAGTGGGGGTGGGGCTAGGGAGATGGCTCAGTGGAA